CACATTACAAAAATAGAAATGCCTGTATCTAAATGTGAAAAGATAGATGAAGAGGTTCTCCCCACCCTCCAGGATATTAATATTTCTTAAAAAAGAAAATTCCCTCCTTTGCAATCTGTAGTCTTTCCCACAGTGTTTTTTACACAATGAACAACTGTTTCATGGAAATTGCATAAGGACCTTCCATTTGCAGACTTATAAAACAGCTAATACCATTTCCTTTCATTTATTAAAGGATATAATGAATTTATCTATTTGTACTGACCCTTGAAGTGTAAAAGAGAAACAAATGGACAAAATAATCCATGGCCTTCAACTTGCTGTTTGACATCTTTGCAATTTACGTATTTACAGAAATATTTTGGTAGTTTGGTAGTTTGGTTGCCACTTGGTCATTCTTCCCTAGTGATCTTGTTTTGATTGCATTAAAAAAGATTATATTACTAATATGTACATATTCTTCCTTAGTGTCAAAAAAACTGCATGTGAGTGACATTCCTGATTAGGCAGTGTCATAACAATTATATTCCAGAGAAGTGCTTTGGTAAATAATCAAGTTTTAAACTTTACCTTGACCCTGTCTTACAAAATATTTTATTTCATCAAAGTTTTCGTCTTCTCAAGTATCATGTAATTCAGGGAAGGGAATATAAATTGACCTACTTAGTCTTTTCCTTGGACATATTAAACAAATTCTATTTAAATACCTTTGATAGACTATATGCTACAGCTATTAAGATAATTGGGTAGATATTGCTTTTGAGGCAAGGCGTTTTTTTTCTTCCTAAGAATCTTCTGCAAAATGTGTAGGTTTTGAATAAAGCAGTCAGGAATTCTTATGTAGGGGCTTCCTGCATTGGAGAAAGCAGCACATGTCTAACCAATTGGGAGGCTTTATTCAGTGCATCAATACATCTGTCTTTTTACCACCATCTGCTTATGGGCAGCACTATCTCTGATTAACAAGCTTTCCCATGTGTTCAGCTCACCGCCATTTCCACTAAAAGGTGTTCAAGCCATAAAACCCTTTCAGCTCTCAAATTTTAAAATGTATTGCCTTTTAATTTTATTTTTAAAAGGCATTACAATTAGCATATTATACATCATAATTTTCTAACCGGTGCATACTGAATGTGTCATCCAGTTACCAGTTTGCTCATCCAGCTGGTAAAAGAAAATAGATCTGAGGGCCTGTGGGGTCATTTGAATGGAGCTGAAAGTGTTCCATGAATAATAATCTTTCCTTTCATGTGTTGTTCTGTGGTCATGATGTCAACATCTTTTTCATCCCTAAGAAGAAGAAGCACTAGAGGGTGCGATGACTGAGGAAACTGAAACTGCTGCTCTTCCTGGGAAAGAGTGTGGGGCTAAGTCCTCAGACCAACCCCAGGGCCTCAGTGAGGGCCAAGTGGAGTCTAGTACAGAGACCCAGATAGTTCCAGAAGACAGTGCCCTGGCAGGGGCTCCACATGAAAAATGTGTAAAAGAGGTGGCGGATCTGTCTCCAGAAGTCAAAACCCCTTCCTCTGCCAAGGAAGGTGTGTCTCTGTCAGGATTTGCATGTGTGGTTACAAATGCTCTCTCCAGCGGCTCACCAAGCCAATGCCTTTCCAGTGCTGATTCATTGCTAGGTCTTCTCATGATCACAAGACCACCATTTCAGGCTTCATGAGCAGAGAGTGTGGCTTATGCAGATGCTGTGTGAGAGCTTGGTTGTCCCCTGCTGCAGCTGACTCTTGGTTGTCCTTTGCCATGATACAATACGCTTTGCCGCAGGCTGATGATGCTGTGTGAGCTCTTGATTTACCCTCCCTCTTCATTGCCAGTGTTTGCCAGTCACATTGCTAATACATGTATACTTTTGTTTTTATGTTTTGGGACAGCAATTCATATGCTTTTATTTTAAATCCTAGAGCTGGATTTTGGCATATATGAGCTGATATGATAGAATCGCTTTTATTTGCAGCCACAGTGTGCTATGATTTTTATGCTTCAACAAATATTGAGTTGGTTTCCTTCAGAAATCTTGCTGATGCTTTCCATATCATTGTCTCTCTGGGGCAGTCAACCCCTGCGTTTTCATTCATCTAAGCCTTTACTACAAGTTATGAGACATTTCTTTGCTCTCATTACAACAGGACACACAGTATACAAGGTCATAATGAGCCATTCACTTGCTTTTCAAGAAATGGCTGAATTTTGTGCTTTACCTCCAAATCTTTTCCAGATACCTACACTTACTTCTAGTGACCACAGTGAAATACCTTATAAACATAACTGAAACTCCAGAGCCACTTGGATTAGCATATCATCATAACCAAGTTCATGTCATTTATTTGATGTGATGTATTTGAGGTTAATACTGACCAATACTTCACTAGCTGGCCATGTTCTAGGAAATGAAGTCAGTACTATGGGGAGAAAGATATTTAGATAGTGATCTCTTCTGATATTTTTTTTATTCTGTGACTTATTATTATTAATAATATAAGCCGGAAATCACAATCAGGAATTAAAAATTTAGACTAAGTGCAAATTGGATCAATTCTTAAGTTTTATACACACACACACACACACACAAACACACACACACACACACACACACACTAAGTAATTAATACAATAAAATGTGCCTCTTTTCCCATTAGGCCTATAAGACCTGGAGATTGTGGCCCAGTCAGCTACCTTTATTTTTGCTGGCTATGACACCACTAGCAACACTCTTGCCTATATAAAGTTGATAGCAAATACTTACGTCTATTCCTGAAATTTAATCTCATCTTCTTAACTATCAGTGCCCTAAATGGTTCTTGGCCATTGTTGATCAAGTTTTTTGAAACTCTTAATACTTATATCATTAAGAATTTCTTGGCATCCTATAGCCTGCCACCTTATTTTCAAATGAGAAAACGTATCTTAAAATTTAGTAAAAATCCTTAATATACATTCTCTTATACCCTAAGTTAGCTACATACTCAGTACATATTAACTTATACCTTTTATCAATGGAATGAATATGAGCTTCCTTTTCTCCCCTAGTATGCAGCATTAAAGGTTAGGAAATACCAAACAAGCAAGCAAGTAGACTGAAGGCCTCTTTGTGTAAGGCCTATTCACATTAATTTACAGCCAGGCTTCACTTGGCACTCCATACATATTTCAGTTCTGACATTTTTAGTCATTTTTCAGTGGACAGCATGCTTGCATGTTCCATAGTTTTCCTTTTACCCTGGCATTCATCTCTCATTTAAAGTAATTTACGCTTACTGCCTGAAAGCCCTTGCCTATTATTTGTTTAAAAACCAACCCGATTACTTCAGATTTACTTACAGCCTCGAAGATGGAGTTCCATGTCCAGCAGGAAGTGACTCCCTCTACAGCAGAGCCTTTAGACAAGAAGGAAAAAGAGTCAACGATGCAAAGTAAGCCTGGTGAAGACCTTAAACATGCTGCCTTAGTTCCTCAGCCAGAGACAACTGAAACTTCTTGTGATCAAAAGGACCTCCAAGGCACAGAGGGAGAAAAATCTCCTCCCATTCTGTTTGGGCATGCTCTTGGTGCCAGCCTTGAAGACGTAAAACAGAATACAGAACCAAGCCTTGTAGTGCCTGACATTGGCCTCTCTACACAACATCCAGCCCCAAAAGAGCAAAAAGACTGGTTCATCGAAATGCCAATGGAATCGAAGAAAAATGAGTGGGGTTTAGCTGCTCCAATATCTCCTGGGCCCCTGACACCCATGAGGGAAAAAGATGTGCTTGAGGATATCCCAAGATGGGAAGGGAGGCAGTTTGACTCGCCCATGCCAAGTCCCTTTCAAGGTGGAAGCTTCACCCTTCCTTTAGACACCATAAGGAATGAAAGAGTCACAGAAGTATCGCCTTTTGCCCCTCTCCTCTTCCAACCAGATGACAAAATATCTCTGCAGGACACCAGTGGTCTACCTACTGCCAAAGATAGTTTTAAAGCTGAGGAGCCACCAAAAGAAAAACCAGACATAGTGGAAGGTGCTCCCGTCTCAGAGGCTGTCACCTTAGAGAAAGATGTTCATGATCCAGTTATGGAAGAATATATCATAGAGGAAGTTTTAGGGGAAGAAAAGGGAACCATAAATCAAGAGAAAAAAGAGACTTCTGCCCCAAGTGCACAGGAAACTACAGTTACTGAAAGTGAACCTCAGCCAAAGCTGGAAGAGAAAGTAACCATTCCTGACAGAGAAGCTGTAGTAAAAGAGAATGAAGCCCCCAAATTGAGAGATGAAGAAACAGGTGTACTCCAGACCGCCACCAAGCATTCTTTCTCCAAAGAAGAACAGAAAGTCCAGGAACACGCCACAGACAGGTTAACACAGGACACCTTCTCCACAAGTGTGGAACAAGAAGTTACAGATCCAGCTGTGACCTCTATGACTTTGGAAACACTTATAACTGAGCCAGAGGCAATAAGTGAAAAGAAAGAAACCCAGGAACTTTTTGAGGAGAAAGTTGCTGGCAGAGATAAGGTTGAAGGAGCTGGGTCTGCAGCCGTAGCTGAAGTTGGCATGCCATTTTATGAAGATAGGTCAGGAATGTCCAAGTACTTTGAAACATCTGCCTTGAAGGAAGAAGCAACAAAAAGCATTCAGTTGGGCAGTGATTACTATGAACTGAGTGATGCAAGAGAGAGCACCCAGGAATCTCTTGATTCTGTATCTCCCAAGCATCAGAATGGTGATAAGGGACTTCAGGCAGGAAAAGAATCCCAGCCCAGTGCTCCAGCACAGGAAGCAGGGTACAGCACTCTCGCACAGAGTTATCCATCTGAGTTACCTGAAGAACCAAGTTCTCCTCAAGAGAGAATGTTCACCATTGATCCAAAAGTTTATGGGGAAAAAAGAGACCTTCATAGTAAGAATAAGGATGATTTGACACTTAGCAGAAGTTTAGGGCTTGGTGGTAGGTCTGCAATCGAACAAAGAAGCATGTCTATCAACTTGCCTATGTCTTGCCTGGATTCCATTGCCCTTGGGTTTAACTTTGGTCGGGGTCACGATCTTTCTCCTCTGGCTTCTGATATTCTAACCAACACCAGTGGAAGCATGGATGAGGGGGATGATTATCTTCCACCCACCACACCTGCTGTGGAGAAAGCCCCTTGCTTTCCAATAGAGAGCAAAGAGGAAGAAGAGAAGACTGAGGAAGCAAAAGCTACTGGAGAACAAAATACTCAGGCTGAGACATCCAGTGAGTCACCCATCCTAGCCAAAGAATATTACAAAAATGGTACTGTCATGGCCCCTGACCTGCCTGAGATGCTAGATCTGGCAGGCACCAGGTCCAGATTAGCTTCTGTCAGTGCGGATGCTGAGGTTGCCAGGAGGAAATCGGTCCCATCCGAAGCTGTGGTTGCAGAGAGTAGTACTGGTCTACCACCTGTCACTGATGAAAGTCACACCGTTGTAAAGCCAGACAGTCAACTTGAAGACTTGGGCTACTGTGTGTTCAATAAATACACAGTCCCACTCCCATCCCCTGTTCAAGACAGTGAGAATTTATCAGGAGAAAGTGGATCGTTTTATGAAGGAACTGATGATAAAGTTCGTAGGGATTTAGCAACAGACCTTTCATTGATTGAAGTAAAACTGGCAGCTGCTGGAAGAGTCAAAGATGAGTTCAGTGCTGAGAAAGAAGCATCTCCACCAACCTCTGCTGACAAATCAGGACTGAGTAGGGAGTTCGACCATGACAGGAAAGCTAATGACAAGCTGGACACCGTCCTAGAAAAGAGTGAAGAACATGCTGATTCAAAAGAACATGCCAAGGAGATAGAAGAAGCTGGTGGTAAAGTGGAGACTTTTGGATTAGGTGTAACCTATGAGGATGCCACCACCCAAGAACTGACAACAGCCAAAGATAAATCTCCCGAGAAAGCAGAGAAAGGTCTCAGTTCAGTGCCAGAGGTAGCTGAGGTAGAACCATCCACAAAAATTGACCAAATACTGGATTTTACTGCAAAGAAAGGTGAACAGGGTCTGTTAGATATTAAAGTCAGTGACTTTGGACAGATGGCTTCAGGGATGAATGTAGATGCTGGGAAAGCCACAGAGCTTAAGCTTGAGGCTACACAGGAACTGACCCCCTCTTCCAAAGAATCTCAGGAGGCAGATGTATTCATGGGTGTTGAGTCTGGTCTCATCAAAGAATGTGTCAAAGCTAATGAGACAGAAGTCAAAGAGAAAGTGGCAAAGCCCGATTTGGTGCATCAGGAGGCTGTAGACAAAGAGGAGTCATACGAGTCTAGTGGTGAGCATGAGAGCCTCACCATGGAGTCCCTGAAACCCGATGAGGGCAAGAAAGAAACCTCTCCGGAATCATCCCTGATTCAAGATGAAATTGCTGTCAAAATGTCCGTGGAAATCCCTTGCCCACCTCCTGTTTCAAGGGTTGATATACTCACTGATGAGACAGCTGAGGTCCACATGGAATTCATTCAGCTGCCAAAGGAAGAAAGCAAAGAGACCCTGGACATACCTGTCACACCTTCTGATGTTACCCAGCCACAGCCTGAAACCATTGTGTGTGAATCAGCAGAATCTCCGAGGGAGGAAGAGGAGATCGAAGCTGGAGGAGAATATGACAAACTACTCTTCCGCTCAGATACTCTTCAGATCACAGACCTGGGTATCCCAGGTAGTAGGGAGGAATTTGTGGAGACCTGCCCAGGCGAACACAAGGGAGTGATTGAGTCTGTGGTGACCATCGAAGATGATTTCATCACTGTAGTGCAAACCACGATGGATGAAGGAGAGTCAGGATCCCACAGTGTGCGTTTTGCAGCCCTGGCACAGCCAGAGGAGGAAAGGAGGCCATGCCCTCATGAGGAAGAGCTTGAAATAGAAGTGGCAGCAGAAGCCCAGGCGGAACCCAAGGATGGCTCCCCAGATGCTCCAGCTTCCCCTGAGAGAGAAGAGGTCGCATTCTCAGAATATAAGACAGAAACCTACGACGATTACAAAGACGAGACCACCATCGATGACTCCATCATGGATGCCGACAGCCTATGGGTGGACACTCAAGGTGTGCTTCTTTTCTTAATCTTCTGAATCAAATCCAGTAGCCTAGCGGGAATATTTTTTTTTCACTTTAAACATTTAAAAATGTCTCTCTGTCTTTACTTTGCTTTTTATTAAGTATACGAAGGGTGTTGTGCATCGGTTACTAATGTTCTTGCTGTTCTTGTTGCCATGGTTTGCTTTGATCCACAGATGATGATAGAAGCATCATGACAGAACAGTTAGAAACTATTCCTAAAGAGGAGAAAGCTGAGAAGGAAGCTCGGAGACCATCTCTCGAGAAACATAGAAAAGAAAAACCTTTTAAAACCGGGAGAGGCAGAATTTCCACTCCTGAAAGAAAAATAGCTAAAAAGGAACCTAGCACGGTCTCCAGGGATGAAGTGAGAAGGAAAAAAGGTTCATTTAACAATCACTTCTTTAAAACTGTTTTTTAAAGTAATTCATTATTACTCTTGTAAAAGCAACTAATGGTGGTAAACTGTTACTTATAAAAGTTTTGTTCAAGTGTTTGGTTTTTTTCTCCTGATGGTATGCTTTTTTGTGTTTTCTTATTCATAGCAGTTTATAAGAAGGCTGAACTTGCTAAAAAAACAGAAGTTCAGGCCCACTCTCCCTCCAGGAAATTCATTTTAAAACCTGCTATCAAATACCCTAGACCAACTCATCTCTCCTGTGTTAAGCGGAAAACCACAGGTGACTGTTCAATTCTGCAATGTGGCTGGCAAACATAGTTGTGTATTTTTTTTTTAATCTCATTACTGTAGAAGCTTCTTCATTTTGTTTTTCTTCCAAGAATCTCAGCAGTCATGAAAAATTTCGCTATTAAGTGTCTTGTATCATTATTCTTTTTTTTTTTTTCCTTCCCTGCAGAAGAGGTCATGACCATCTGTTTCTTTGTCATGCTCAGACATAACAGTGCGTGATTGTATCTTGGCATTGTGCTCTAGTGTCACGTTATGGGACCCCTATTTTCATTCTGTGTGTTTGGTTAGACGATGGCGATGAATTTAACCGTGGTATGCATTCTCATTATTTTGCTTATTTATCCCCTTCATGCTTAAATCCATGTATATTCGTCCTATTTTCTGTATTGTTACTGCCAAATCTGTTACTGTTGTTGAATTTACTGAGACAATGCACAGTGATTTAGACATTAGAAATGGAAAACACTCAGGGATAAGACTGTAGTTTGCAAATTTATTTTGCTTTAGATTAAAAAAATACAAAACGAGAAGAAAGAAAATAAGGGCAGTCTTATCAGATTTTATTTTTCATGTCCAAAATTAGCAGCTCTTTCAATCTCCTGTACTGTATCACTAAGACTTTCTTAAATATATTTATCCAAGCTGGTAAATATTCTAACATAATTCAACATGAAATTTGTAAGTTAAAACCCCTTCCCCCTTAAGAGTTAAGTTTGAAATAAACAAGTTTCCTATAATCTCAGCACTGGGGAGGAGGAGACAGGTCCAGTCTGGGCGGTAAAGTAAGCTACAGCCCAGAAGCCTACAGTAAGCTGTAGGCCAGTCTGACCTACAGAGAGATGTTATTATGAGACAGAGAGAGCGAAGAAGAGGAGGAAAAGAAGGAAGAGATAAGAGCAATTATTTCTATTTCGTTATTTATTTCTTTCTGCTCTAAATATGCACATTTCTAAGCTTTAAAATCTAGTAAAACAAGAAAATGAAGCATGTTAGAAATCATAATAAAAACCTATGTAGCTCTCTATGACACAAATTTTTATTTTGAAATTTCAATGTAAAGTAACTGAGTATTTATTTTGTATGCCTAATTATACTGCAGTATAATTTTAAATTTATTTTTACATCTATATGGATATGCTTGTAATTTATAAATTATTATATTGCTATATCAGAAAAAAAGTATTTTCCTTTCCAGTGTACACTACAAATGGCTCTATATAAACTTTGGGATCATTTCACTGATTGGAAACAACACTAGCCTTAGTAAGAAAAAGATCAGAGTAACTGATGGCTTTTGACCCCCACTAAAAACTCCTAGTATTCTTTGTTTGTTTAGTCTTTATATTTGGGGTTTTGGCTTCTAATTTTTTGAGGCAAGGTCTTACTAGGCTGGCCTTGAACTAATGAACCTTCTGCCTTAGCCTCCCAGTTGCTGGAATTATAAGAGTAGAGTACCATGCTTGGCCAAAATTCTAGGCATTGTGTATTTGTGTTCTTCATCTAGGAATCATTTGATGTGTTTTCTGTACCAACAAGTATCCAAGCCAAGGATTTTAATTTGGAAAGCTTTTATACACAAACTTGATAAAGGTCAGGCTACAGAACACCTCAAAATGAGAAGTTAGTAGTTAACATAATATTTCCAAATCTTGTGTCATACTTTAATTAGCTAATTTTGTCAGGCTTATAGCTTTATCAAACTTGGAAGTTTTCTTCTATTCAGACAAATCCTTGGACAAATCCTTTGGGTTGAACATTAAGAAATCTTATAGCCTACCTGAAAATATAAAGATGTCATCTGAATTGTGGAATTTCGGAGGAGATGTAAAATAGTTTGCAAATAGTTTGTAAAATGGCATGTCTGCATGTCATTGATACTTACTTTATGACACTCAGATACCCCCTTTTTATTCATTCTTTAAGGAAAATTTAAGAACTTTGGACCAGCTAGGGTTCTCCTTTATTCTAGTCAAATGCTAAGAGATACTAGAAGGAAGCATCGACCAAATGCAGATGTCATTGGTTTGAAGCAGACTGCATATGTGTGCTACAGGAATTTAAGATACTACAGAAGCACTAGAATGACATCATTTCGCTGTTACTTAAAAAAATTCATTCCTAGGATCTTAATAACCCTACTAGGAAAATCCTATAAAGAATAAAGCACAGTGTAGACAGCCATTGTCTTGATGTAAGAGGTACATGTAGCATAAAAACCCCTTTTGGAGCTAATTCGGACGGTTTCTAAGGATCCTTTTTTTCCTTGAGGATTTCTCTACTAAATAAAATTAAGGAGAAATTAAACATACAAACTACAGTATTTAACTTCTGAGAGTATCTTCCAAATAGTGTTGTTTTTCAAAACACAAAGGATTATCTTAAATTGTGAGATATATGAGTCAAGTCAGGTAAGTCATCAACACAAAATGTACTGAAGATGATGGAGTTTAAAATTGGAGTCAGAAGCAGACAGCAGCAGCAAGAGAAACAACAGTAACAGATGTGGTAATAATGTCATACAAGAAGTGCATGTGTAGAACACATTCTGTATTTACTGAACTTAAAGTTTATCATTCTCTGTCCCTGAAAAGTTATTTTCCTTCCCTTCTTCTGGTATATTTTCACCTCACACAAGTATGTGAATCATATCATGAAGCGAAGGGGTACAGAGGCAAAGGGGTTGGCTGGTCATGACAGCTTGAGAGGTAAATGTAGAAATACCTGTAGGTAAGCCAGTGACCTCCAAACAGGAGGGTTTGGGGCATCTCTATATCACACCAACCGAGAAACCAATCAGCTTCCTTTCCTTTAAACTAGGTAGCATTCACCTTTCTATTCTGTGAGTTCTGTTCTAAAGATTCTATGTGTATACAGTAGATACTCAAAGGTACATTGGTGACCCACAGTAAATGAGTTTGTGTGCTTAGCAGTTCTTAGATGGACACCAGAATATGTTAATTTGCATATATTGTAGTTGAAGCTACTATAATGTATTACTGTCACTCAAGTTTCTTTGGCTACTGAATTTAAACCCCAAAAGAAACAAATTTCTGCTTTGCACTAGTCTATTGACATAGTGAAATACCCAGGAGGTATTGGAAAATGCATTTGTGTGGGTTTTAGCCACTAAATTTGGGGTTATTTGTTTCTTTTCAACAGCAGCTGGCAGTGAATCAACTCAGGATCCCAGTGCATTTAAACAGGCAAAGGACAAAGTCACTGTGAGTAAAACAAATTTTCTCTTGTTTTTAAATCAGAATTCCTTTTGGTATTTGTTCCAATGTCTTAACAAAACTTAGGTATTATTTAGACAGTAGATGTTTATTCCTAAATGCCATTTTAAACTGGTCTCATCCAGAATGATTCTCGGGAATATCCAGGCCAGACTAACGTATCGCAGAGTGACAGGTGATGGCAGTTGGTGGAGGACATGGCTGGGCTTCCTCTTCAATAGCAAGATAAAACACATTAGACAGCACTGTGATGCGTGACTCGACAGTACTGAGGAATAATGATTCATTAACACTTAATGGAACCAACTTTAACCATTTTAACGAATGTACTGTATTATATTTTCATTGTTTTGTTATAAAATAAATCAAAATAAAACTTTAGATGAACAAAAAGAAGTAAAACAGTATTAAAGATAGTTGCAGTTAATATTTTGATATAAAAGTATTTTTCTACACATTTAGAGGTTCAGTAACAAAAATCAAAAGACAGGTGTATCAATTTTCAATTAAATAATAAACATGCACCTAAGCATTCATATAACCATTTTAATGACAATATTAACATTGCATGTTATTTATTTGCCATGACATAATCAATTTCCTGTTATTTGACTTTCAAACTGCTTTTTGTTTCTGTTTTAATAATATTGCCATTGAGATGTTTTTGGCCAATTCATTTCCTTAGAACAATTTCCTACTAGTGAAATAATTGCTTCAAAATGAAATAAAATAAAATAAAAATTGTTTCAAAATGAATGTTGAAGGCTGGGTGTTTGGACACACACCTTTAAATCTAGCACTTGGGAAGCAGAGATAGGAGGATCTCTGAGATTAAGTCCAACCTGGTCTACATCGTGGGTTCCAGGCCAGCTGGGGCTACAGGGAGACCCTGTCTCAAAAAGGCAAAAACAAACAAAAATATATATTTTAAAGCTTTTGCTATACATTGCCAAAGTTATATTATTCTTTATTTGCAAATTATAATAATAATAAATATATTGTTGTTTTAATGCAGTTCTACTAATGATGTTTAACTATTTCATATATTCATAAATCATTTCTATATTTCAATTTTTTATATTACCAACTGTATTTTAAAGACCAAAACCAACATGAGATGTGTTTGCTCTTTTATGGTTGGAAGAGATAAATGAAAGAATTACTAATGAATTCCTAAAACTACAACAAACAATTTAAATGGTGTCAATTAGTAACATATGAAAAAACAAATCTCCACAAACATACTGGTAATTAAATCACAATTCTTAGACTATATCTCTAAAAACTGATAAGATTTTAGACTTCTATTTTTATTATGAAAAATAGTTTCTATTTCTAATATTTTTGATAATCATCTCAAACTAAGAAGGGCTTTATTTTGATAAAGGAAGCAATTCATTTTATGTGAGTACTGATAAGTTCTTGAAGACCCATCCCTGAATATATGCAAGTGATAGAATTCATGTATTGCTTTGGTAAATATTAGGCTTTATGTTAACATAACATGCTTGCAAGATTTGGATTTCCCTTTTTATTCATGATAGAAAACTAGTATGTTATCATGTCCAAATCTTGAATATTTTTAGCTATATAATCCTTTTCTTCTACACCTTAATTTTCTAAAAATAAGGGATGTGGCAAAATTCCTATAGCATAAGTTAGCTGTGCGAATTAAGCAGAGTAATTTCATAAAACAGTATAGGTCTTGGAATATGGTAGTTATTCAGTATTCATTAAATAGCAATAGTCATTAGTTGCTATTTTTGCTATTATTTAAAATGTAGACATTTTCAGTCACTGATACAAAAAATAAATTTGAGATTTTTTTTCCTTTAGGAAAAAGTTTTTAGTAAGCATTATTTGGAAAAATTTAGGAAACTTAAAAACAAGTCTCAATTTCATCTGCTATTTTTGTAATAGCTAAATCAAATTCATTATTTGAAGTAATCTCCTTGGCTCTGTCATTCTTGTCTGTAGTCTTGGCAGAGTCTCCCAGGAGACATGTGGCTTGCAACACAACTCTGCAAGGGCCCCCAGTCCATCCACTTTTACTTTGCACACAGTCTTCCCTGAAGTTATCTATACCTATAAATTAAGTCTTATGATATTTTATGGATAGTCTCTTCAGTGCTGACTTTCTTTTTAAGAATTCATAACACATCATATGGACTGATGTCTGTTCATAAAAATTATACTAATTCAATGGTATAGCTTACTCCCAGTTTGTGTTTTGCTCATAAAATGAACTCAATGTATATAAGCTCTGTAAGGTTTTTTTTTTTTTAATTAAATTAATGTCGACATCTAAAAATTTTTGAGGGCTGGAGAGATGGCTCAGCAATTAAGAGCACTGACTGCTGTTCCAGATTAACAGGTTCAATTTCCAGCACTCATGGCAACTAATAACCACCCCTGACTCCAGTTCCAGGGGATCTGAAGCCTTCGTGCGTCCACAGACTTTGCGCAGTACTGTTGTGCTTGCATGCAAGCAAACCTCTCATACACATAAAATAAAAATAAATAAGTTTTAAAACTGAATTTTTTTAATCTGTGAGATATTTTTCATTACTTGATTTCTACTATAACTTGTTATAACTTTTTTTAACTTTTAAAAAAACTTTATTGAGATTTCATACATGCATATAAGGTGTTTTGATCAAATCCATGCCCATTCCCTCCCCTCCAACGCCTCCCATATCTCCCCATGACTTTTTTTCTTCTTCTTCTTTGATTTATTTATTTTTATGGGCCTTTTGGCTACTCCAACATTCCCCCCTCTGAAGAGGTAACCTTAAAATATTTTAAGGATCAGATACAAGCTCGCAAATACTTTTGACATTTTTGGCCTTTAGAACAGAGTATGTTGCTAAGAGGCCCAAGGACATTTTGACTTTTAGCTAAGAAACTGGCTACTTTTCTTTGGGGTCTTTTTATTCTTAAAATACAATTAAATTGCAGATTGTGTGGCCATCATAAAGGCTACACTTAGTAGAGGAACATTTCCTGCAGACTCTAAAGACACTTTTCAAGTGTAACATTGTTGGAGGACCTGTGGATTATTTGGAAACCTTATACATAAAATGCATAAAGACTATTTTATTTATATTCTTGTTAAATATGAACTACATATATAATATTTAAGCAATGTAAAGTTTATCTGTTTGGTGTCATATTTTAATCCAGTGTATAGAGAGATCTACTTATTGCCATTATGTTATTCTTTTCTTAAGACTTATTTTGCTTATGGATTTTAACTGACACTATATCCTTGAAAAGTGGAATTCATAGTTTGGGGGTTCCAATTAGAGTCTCTGAGAGTGGGGTAATTTCACTTACAAAAATGTTGGCAGTTTGTAGTCTCCCAGGAGTTGGCTATTGTACCAATTGTTAGTCACCTAACAGACAAGGAACCCAGTGGGGAATGTATTTCTCCTATCTTTCCAAAGCCCCAGATGCAGAGATAACTAATTTTCTTTTAAAGTAAATTTACTGAAAATAATAGACATTATGAATGTATATATATGTGCACAGCACAAATAGTGAGAATTGTTTCTACAGTCCTTGCATAGATGACCTCTCAGAATAACTCAACTCTATTGGAGAGACAAGAACATCTTGAAACTGTTCTTTTTCTGAACAATTCACTTCAGAACGAGTTCCCATATCTTTTAAGGGCTTCCTATATCCCTGTTCACACAAAGTGATTCGTGTGTGTGTGTTTGTGTATACATGTGTATGTATGTATATTTCTTAGAACATATATGTGTGTGTGGTGTGTGCCTATGTGGGTATACATAAATATGTATGTATGTATGTGGGTCTCTCCCTCCCCTCGTGGGCCATTGACCACTGATCCATGAGAACAAAGGGAGCAGAAGCAACTAATGGGGTCAGGATGGCCAGTAAGCACGATGGAAAAAGCTTTCCGGGAGTCCCCTTCAGTGAGACAGCTCAGTTTATTCAGCGGGGTTTGGGGGCAAATTATAGGGTGAGGATGGTAGCTAAAGTTTTACATGATAGCTACTCATGGTATGCTTTATTTACATGTGGTAGGGGGATCCTTATCATCTGGCTATAGGGCAATGCCTAATTATCATATAGAAAAAATTGGAAGCAGTTTATTGCAGGTAACTATGACAAAGGTCACGTTCCAAATAAAGCCAGGCATCTATGCTTGGAGGCACTTTCCAGATAAGGTCTGGTAGAGAGCAGAAAGCCCCCGCTGAGAAAAGGAGTCCTCCATACAGCGCCGAGCTCCTTAGAGCTATCCAGAGATGGCAGACTGCAACCTTAGCAGCAGGTTCCCCAACATATATATGTATGTATGTATGTATGTATGTATGTATGTATGTATGTATATTTCTACTTAGACCGAAACTCTAACCTGGTGTTCAACAGTGGGAGATTTCAACAACCTGCTTCTTCCTAAATAAAAGACTCTTTACCACTGTTTTACAGTCAATTCAGTTCAATCTTTTATTTCTTTGCATCAAATTATGAAATTGAAGATCCTATGTCAAATCATGTACAATGCTTTGGTTTTGGAATTTTACAGCCAATTCCTTCATGTATAAATGTTGTGATTGTTTCTACCCTTCTTCCATCCATCCATCCTCCCACTGAATCACCATTTAACACTTGTCATTTGTGTATCTACTGTGCCAAGCATAGATAATCACAACATTTGAAAGTAAAGGAGTAAATAACATGGATACCTGTTCTATATATGATGGGTACGAAGCCAAATGGTATAGCATTGTTTTTATGTTTAAGTACAGCTGACATTTCTAAATGGGTATTGTTGACTGATTTCCATCTACAAAACAGAATTCAATGACAACCCCTTTTCTCCCATATTCATCTGTCCTTGATTATAGTCATTGATCATGTGTTTTTAAGTAAACATTTAAGTTCTTATGTATTTATACATTTTGGATTTTTCTTTTTACTTCATAGTTTCATTTATTTTTATTTGTTTTTGTTTTCTTTCATGGCTAGAATTCTACTTTGTCAAAGATTCCTGCTTTACAAGGTAGTACAAACTCCCCAAGCTACAGCTCATCCTACCCTAGCAAGGCTGAAAAGCCTTTCTGTTCTGGCAGTGTTTCAGTACAGCCCTCCTCAGCAGGCTCCACACACCGTTTGACATGCCCAGAATCAGGGAACAAGGTAAGGAGGCAGGCCACTAAAAGGTACAGAAAGGAATAAAATTGGAGAGAAGTCACAATGACATGTTTCAGAAAATTTATGAAAGCAAAATTGACATTCTGAACTATGACATATAAATAGTAAACCCTATTAAAAGCAATCTAAAAGTTTTGATGGAAAGTCTGCATTAAAAAATGTACATAAAACTTGCCGTCTTCTAGATACTGACCATTATTAATTTACTTATTATAAAAAATCAATTATAAACGAAAATCCCAAAATACATTCTATTGCATATGTAACATATAAAAATCATATAGTCTAATAATAATAAGCTATATTCTATATGACATTTGGACTCAACACCAGATATTTCAGGGTTTACTACCATCTCTGACACCTACAAATGCCAGGATCTTGAAAAAAATAACATTAATTTGTTAAACCTGTTTCTTTACCTTTAAAATGTGCACAATATTTTGCAGTGAGATGAAATCATAATTGATGTGTTATGCTTGGTGTTCCTGTCACATCAGTAGGCAATATGTGGTTGTGGTAACTGTTAGGAATATTGTGACTGCAATGCCCTTCTAGTCCATTCTGATTAAGAAATCATCATGCTAATGAAGTTTTTAAGTAAAATTAGCCATTTTCCTTATTTTTTTATCGAGCTTTTGTACATTTCATACCATAGTTCTTAATCAAATTTAGATCCTCTCCCGCATCCATGCCCCCACCATTGGACTTCATGTATTACACCTTACATGTTAAATCCTATCCAGCCAAGCATTTGTACCCAGATGTCCTTTGGTGCAAATTCATCCACTGGAGTCTAGTCAGCCTATCTAGAGATTGTAAGTAAGGCCTACTTTGCCTCACCCAGTTGTAATCAGACTCCAACAGTTCCAAGATTAGGAGGGGTCTGCAACCATTTCCCTCGCTCCACTCTGGGCCCTCATGTGAATGAGTTGGCACGGGTCCTGTGCTCAATGCTACCATTGCTGCAAGTTCGTGTGTGCAAAGCTTCCAGTGGCCTGAAAACCTCTGCTTCCCTATGTTCATGAACCAACCCTGGCACTTACAGTCTTTCCACAATGGTCCCTGAGTTGTGGGTAGATGAGGTTTAATATGGGAGTCCTATCCATGACAACACACTCTATGGTCTCCTATTCTTTTTTTTTTTTTTTTTTTTTTTTTTTTTTTTGAGACAAGCTGTAGTCCCAGCTGACCTGAACTCACTACTCACTATGTAGACTAGGCTGGTCTTGAACTCACAAGGATCCACCTGCCTCTGCCTCCCAGTCTCCTATTCTTTACAACTTGGCCAATTGTGGCCTTCTGTGTGCATCATACTCTGTTGTATACGGAGGCTTCACTGGTGACAGTTAAGGGATGCACTAGTTTTCTCTACTGCCTGTTCTGCCATGTTCCATGTAGTAGATATGTCACCCATTTGCAATTTTCTGAAGATGACCTTTGTAAACCCATTTCATCCATGTTCATGATTAGAAATTGTACTTCACCGAGTTCATTTTCAGAACACTGTCACTGCATAATAATGAATTTTGATAGAATAACTGGGAAACTATAAATTCTAAGTTATGTAATAGAAATTCTTACTAGTGCATGAAAGTTGGTAGTATATAGCTAAAGAGCTTTATCTATCAGAAAAAAAAAAAAACAAACAGAGCAGTGTAAATAAAATAAAGATTCACAAGACCCTGACAATTTTCTTTTTCGAAATCAGGATGGAATAAGCAAGAGCCCGGAAAAGCGCTCTTCGCTCCCGAGACCTTCCTCCATTCTCCCTCCTCGCCGGGGCGTTTCAGGAGACAGAGAGGAGAATTCCTTCTCACTTAACAGTTCTATTTCTTCGGCAAGAAGGACCACCAGTACGTTTATTCCAGTTTGGTTTCTTTTCTTATCATTATTTAATCTCTTAAATGGAAGAGTACTTTTTTTATATTTATAGTTTATAGTGTTCAAACAAAGCAAATCTGCATTTAAAATGTATTATCATTACCTTCAGCCTCAAAATCAAAAAATTTAGACTGTAGTTTGTTCCAAAATAATTCTTTGAGTCAAAACAGGTGAAAGAATAAATGGGAACAAAGAATCTCAGTAAGAGACTGAGATAAAGTCATTTGAAGAATATGTTTTCTCTCCTATTTCAAATTTAAATCAAGAAAGGAGATTCTAAAAGGTAACTAATAGAGAAAAATGCCAGTTATGTAGTTTTATGCATCTATACCAACTTAATACTTACTAGAATTCCAAATCTTAAAATTTAACTGGAAAGTCAAAAAATCAAACCCTAAAATCCAAGGTTAAGGAGATGGCTCAAGGAGTGAAGCGCTTGCTGCACAGGTGTGAGGACTTGAATTTGGATCCTGAGCAGCTGTGTGAAAACCAGGTACAGTAGTGGACATCTGTAACTCCTGCACTGGGGGTTGGGGTAGAGCCAAGGGGGTACCTGGAGCTCAACAGCCAGTCAACCTGGGAAATCTGTGAGCTTCAAGTTCAGTAAGACACTGTGTCTCGAAATACAAGGTAGAGAACAAGTGGGAGACACTTGACATCAGCCTCTAACCTCTGCACACACACACGCATACACACACACACACACACACACACACAAAACACACCCCACACACATACACATGCACAGAACACACGGGAACATATTCACAGCCATACATGAAACAACTAAAATACCACTCAGTTTGGTAAGAATTTCATGCCAAATGAGCTGTCACATGATATGTTCTATACAATGTCTTCAGTTCCTTTTGACTGATGCCAATAATGGGCTGATTGGCAATTACAGCAGTCTATATCTGTGTAATGGTCCATTCATTACACACCTGTAGTTTACATTGCTGCTAACACTATCTTGTAAAATATCAAATTATTAGCTTGCTTTTCTGTTCAACAAAAAAAGCTACCATTTCTTGAGCACATATTAGATACAAAATGATTAAGGTACATTTTTTCATTTGATGGAGTTAGCAATGCTGATGGTTAGTTGTTAGTAACTTCAATTAAATTGATAAGAAAAGTGACCTAATATAGAAGTAACTTGTTAAATATATACAGCTAGTAAATGATTGAATTTGGTTTTCAGTCCACTGTTCACACCTGTCTTAATGCCTTTTCTACATTTATTTGGAGGAGAAATGCTTTGTGAAAGTACTGGGCAAATCAGATCTCTGTAACCTGGAAATATTATAAAATGGTGGGAACTGTTACCACTGTCACATTGTAACTGATTTTAGCTCAACCATTGCTTTTTAAAAATACAATAATAATTGACGTATTCAGGCATGATGATTTTGCATGACACTCAATGTCCTGTCTACAATGAAAATGTCATTGTAATTAGACCAATCATGCCCAGCACCATTTAATTTCATGAAATATTAGCATCCTTTGAAGCCGGTGCTAGGAATACTTTGTAAACTTCAAATTCTTTTATCATAACCAAAATAACTTACTGAAATAAACTAGTAAGGAGGACATTTAATAGTTAGTAATGTTCAGGTAAAGGACTTTAATGCCAAATATCTAGGGTTAGAACTGGACATAAACAATAACCCAGAGAGTAATAAGACAAGACAAAGGCCCCAAGCCTTCCCAAAGAGCATCCTAAATTAAGCCTTTATGTGTTGCTATGGAAACAAAATGGAACCTTCTTCATAAATCTGTTTCTTTGAGCCACTCTGTTGTGCCTTTTAAGATAGATTCATATATAAATTGCTTTTGAAAACGTGCTGAGCCAGTGCTATTTTGACTTTCTAGTTTTACTTCTTTTCACAAGTATACCACATTGTGTCATTTGGTAATAAGCATAATTGATACTTTGATAATCTAAGGATTGGGGGCCTACTTAAACTGTGCATAGCAACAGCTAAAACATACACAGGCAATTAGAAGAGCAAGCGATTTGCTCGCTTCCATTTGCCTGCCATCTTCTTAACTGCATGCAAGAATATCCTGGAATTTCATGTAACTTTTGAAAAGATTTTAAAGAAATGGTCTTTAAAATCTCATGAAGCCCAGGAGGAGGGAGCATATGCAGTCATGAATTCACTGGAGATCATGAGTTTGGTTCATCCAACTCACAGTATAAATAAATCCATCTTATTAAATGTATTCATGTGCTACTATGTGTTACTCCATATAAGCTGAGATGTTAACATTGAAATCCTCATTAGCTAAAACCATGGGATATAAGTAGACAGTTCTGTGATGTGTGTATGTCTGGATCTCAGAACTGATGTACTTGCAGAGAGGAATGAGCAGTCCACATACCATCCAGGAGTTTTCCTGTAAGCAGAGATTCACATACCATGTTAAATGCAGGCTTTGTTTCTAGCTCCAGGTCGTCCATATGCCATAATAATATACAGACAAAAAGATAGTTTGCATGAATTCAAAATAAGAACTGTGAAGAATAAGTGAGAAAAGAAATCAAGTTTTAACTTTGTGTATTAACATGTGTTCAAAATCTAAATCTAAAGAAAGGAGGCACTCACCTTTTGAGCATCATTGTGACTTCATAAAGTTCTAAATCCTTTTGAATTAAACACATTATGGGTCCTAACTATATATAGGAGGAAGTGTACCTTCAAGAGAACTTTCTAATGCTATGATGTGTTCCTCCTCTTGCTCATCCCCCCCACCCCCCCCACCTTCTTTTTGTCTTACCTACTTTCTAACATAGGGTCAGAACCCATTCGCAGAGCAGGAAAAAGTGGTACCTCAACCCCCACAACGCCTGGATCCACCGCCATCACCCCTGGCACTCCCCCAAGCTACTCTTCACGCACCCCAGGCACTCCTGGAACCCCCAGCTATCCCAGGACCCCTCATACACCAGGAACCCCCAAATCTGCCATATTGGTGCCCAGTGAGAAGAAAGTCGCTATCATCCGCACTCCCCCAAAGTCCCCCGCTACTCCTAAGCAGCTTCGACTTATTAATCAACCACTGCCAGACCTGAAGAATGTCAAATCCAAAATTGGATCAACTGACAACATCAAATACCAGCCTAAAGGGGGTCAGGTAAGAATCTCATGAATACATCTGTGCTGTCAGAAGAAAATCTTATTCATTATTAAGTTGCCTTCAGTGGGTTATAAGCTGCCAGTTCTATGCACAGGAGATGAGGAGTCGCAGAGTTACTGGTTACCATTTATTGCTGAGCCTGAACCTTCTCTGAAGAAGTGAGATTAGAAAATACATTGAAAACCAGATGATAGGCCCTTTTTTCTGGTCATTAACGTACAGTAGTTTAGCCATATACAAGATTATTTAGTTGATTTTTGAATGGATTTCTTTGACTTGGTAGATTTGGAGAAATTAAAGTTGTATTTTAATGTGATATGGATTTGAGCTTTCTATTTTGGATTCAGACCATAAGCTTACCTGACTATTAATTTTAGGGATTCCTATTTTAACCCCTTCCTTTCTGACCGAGGATAGCTTATGAATATTTCATTTCCTCATGTTTAGTCCACAAAGTGTGGTTCACCAAGTTGCTACCTGATTGTTACTACCTAAATATTGTAAGTGGCTGGTATTTTTGTTGATAGTGAGCATACAGCTCTATATAATTCTAATAAATGAAATTATAGATATGGAAGTTCTCCTTAAGATTAACTGTATTGCATAAAGTTGTTAGAAAAGCTCATTTATTCCCAATTGTAGTACAGAGCAAACATTCATTTCTTTTCTAAGCAGGGGGCTCTGAGTTCTATCTTGACATGAACTTTCTTGCTTGGACATAACCTGAAAGAAAATTATAGAAATACTATTTAAAATTTGTCTTATGTTAATACACCTATTAGACAGTTCAACTTCAAGAGAGTTTTTTAAAATTATCTCGGAAAAAAAGGAAAAAAGCAGTCAACGTCTCCCTTTGTACATGCACAAACCAGTAATGCCCTAAAAATCCCAAGGAAGCCTTTCCCTTTTAATCTCAGTGCTTTTTCTTCTCTTTTACTTGTCTAGTATGTACTCTGTCTAGTTTCTTGCCAAGAAAGTTCTATTTTAGGCATGTTTCAAAGAAAGATCTTGCTTTGTGAAGTGTGAAATCTTCCAGCATTGCTCCCCACCCTCAGTACCAAACAAAGTTCCTTACAGCTTCTTCCCTAGAATCAAACTTCCCTGCTTTTACATTATACTTCTCTTCTAGAAATCCCAGAGAATTAAGAAAAATCAACTAATGGGTCAGAAAGAGATTGAGGTCAATATGCCCATGTATAACATCTGTAATAATGTTGTCATAGAAAGATAAATTTTTATGGGAAGATGTTATGAAAGTATGAGCTATAAGAAGCTTTTTTAATCCACAAAATAACCTTCATTCTAACAAATTTAAACTCATAATTGAAACAAAGAAAAAAATTAAAATACCTCATTATTCTTATATTGATCATAGACTAAGAGAGGGAAATCTCTTGGGTCATTTGGAAGTAGCCATCTGCAGCATTTTAATATCTATACATAAATAATTTAGAAAAGTAACTTGAATAAAATAAGTTAGTAACAAAAGTGTTTCATTGTAGATTTTGATAAGAGAGATGTCTTAAAGTGAATGAATTTGTTTTTGTTTGTTTGCTTTCTGGTTTTCCAGACAGTGTCTCCCTATAGCCTCAGCTGGTCTGGCACTTGTTATGTAGACCAGCTGGCCTCACTCTCATACAGATCTGCCTGCCTCTGTCTCCCAAGTGCTGGGGTTAAAAGTATGCACCACCCTGCCTGGCAGAATTAACTAGTTTTGAGACAGGGTTTTGTTACATAGCTGGGGTTGGCCTTTAACTCACAGTCCTCCTGCCTCAAGCTCCCAGGTGCTGGGATTACTGTGCCACTTCTCTATTTATTAATATCTGCATGACTTCATATTCTCCTCAACTAAATCTGGAGTTTCTTTGTTTATGTCCTGGAGAATATTGAATTTAGAAAGAAGAATCTATGTCTTAGAATCCCAAAGAAATATGAATCATTTCTAAGATATTGTATTTAATCTAAATGGGAAATTTAATAAATGTGAAAGGATATAGATATCATTTGACATAAACATTTTATGAAATACAGTTTTGTTTAAAGAACCACCAAAGGTCTTTCCATTGTGGTCTTAGCCTTAGCTTTGCAGGGCTCCTTAAGATTAAATCAATACAGGAGCTAGAGAGATGGCTCAGTGGTTAAGAGCACTGACTGCTGTTGCAGAGGACCTGGATTCAATTCCTAGCACCCACATGGTGGTTAACAACCATCTGCAACTTCAGTTCCAGGGAATCTGACACCTTCCTCTAACTTCCGTGGGCACTACACTCATACACATAAAAAATAATAAATAAAATTTACCTTTGGTCTTTTCTGAGATGTGGTCTCCCCGTAGCACCAAGTGGCCTGGAACTCACTATGTAGACCAGGGTGATCTTGAACTCACAGAGATCAGTCTGCCTCTGCCTCTGGAGTGCTGGGATTAAAGACGTCGACACTAGACCCAGCATAAATAAAATATTTTTTACAAAGATTAAATCAATACAAATATATAAAGACATCTCTTTTCTTTTCCATCATATGTAGTTACTTTTCTAGGCCTACTTTTAGTTTATCTGCACTCTAGTTGGTAATTCATAAAGTTGGCATAAAATATCTTATTATTTTGATTTGAGCTAAGAAATCCATAGAGACTATAGTTCAGGACTAGTTAAGACATTACATAAAAATTACAGCAAAACAAAAGTAGCTTCAAAATCATGGTATCATTTTTTAAAATTTCCTTTTATTGGGCCAGTCTTAACCTGCTGTGTTATCTCATCCTATCTCAACATCAGATGATTTGGACAGTTCACAGCAGAGAAGTTATGAAGTGAATTTTGTTGCAGAAGGAAGAGTTATTTCCTCACCAAGATGAAAGGCTGATAGAAAAATATTTCCCTTAATTTATAATAAATGGTACAAACACATTGAAGTTAGAGGAGATTGCAGCACTTTCCCCTGAACCCCTCTTTACAGTGCATCTTCTTAAACACAGGCAGTGAAGACAGTTTCTTTTTCTGTAGATGTTTCCTGGTGGGTTTGAATGGAATGCAGGACTTTACAATTCCTACTTTATAGAATGGGAAATATTTGTCTTAGGACTTCAAAGAAATTATCAGGGTAGTGTGTTAAAGACCTTTATTATCTGATTGAGTATCTATAAATGCATACCATGGAAGGAATCAAAGCTACTGACATCAGTCTCAATTATAAATTGATTACGATAACAATTTTTAACAGCAGTCACCCAGAATCACTGAAGACAGAGCAGCACTGTACTTTGTGCAGAAACCAGGTTTTGAAACAGTGATATGCAAAACCTTCACTGCTCCCCAAATTGAGAAGTTTTATTATTTGTGGCCAATTAGAATAGTTGTTGTTTTCTGTATGTGCAGCTTTTATGCTTATACTTCATATCTCTCATGTGAAAGTTTAATTGCTGTTGCTGGAGAAGCTCCACACAGTTCAGTGAGGCAAACCAATGCCTAATGGAGTAGACTGGCTTAATTAAAGCTACAGTGAGCTATACTAAAAGCAATATAGTTTATCTCTTCAGTTCAGACACAGGCTCTTTCTACTGGAAAACGACAATTGTGGATTCACTGGAGATAGTGAGCTTGGTTCGTTTAACTCGAGGTGTAAATAAAACCATCTTATTAAATTTTTAATTTGAAACTAAAGTGCTCTAAACTCCTCAATCTCTATTCGTTCTAAATTTTAAGTTAACATTAGCTTCAAGAATGTTGTTACTTGAAACGTGGTGTGGTAATGCACGGCTTTAATCCAGCACTCAGGAGGCAGAGGCAGGGAGATCTCTGTGAGATCGAGGCTGGTGGATCTCTGTGAGATTCAGCCCAGCCCGGGCTACATAGTGAGTTACAGGCCAGTTGGGGCTATAGACCCTGTCACAAAAAGGAAAGAAACAAAGAGAGAGAGGGAGGGAGGGAGGGAGGGAGGGAGGGAGGAAGGAAGGAA